TGTAAATGTTGCACTAATTAGTACAACTAACGTGTTGAAATGTTTTTATCATATTGTATCATTATACTAAGGAAAAATCATAACAACAATTGCCAAATCAGCAAATGAATTGCTCTCTTGGGCATTTGCAGCATAAGCAGAATCAATTATCGACCTTTCTTGGTCCAAAATCTATCCCGACCAAAAAATGTTTATTGGTCCAAGCTTTCTTAATGGCCTTAGTTGTCGTCACTGTCGACGTGGACTGGTTGTTAGACCGCGAAGTAACTACCACCTAAGGAGCGCTCATGTTGCAGTTTCTCCAAGCTCTGGTGCTCAATTGCCGCACAAAATTTGAAGGGAATTTTGAAATTCAAGGAAGAAATGCCTTGCCATTTATAGCGGAACGGCGACCGCAAATTAAACTCTAGAATGGTGAATGGTCAGAACTTCAGTTATTTTCATATGCAGACGGGAGTAGCTTGCCGTTGTAGTTGGGGGGTGGTTATGGATTTGATTTTGATTTTTCATTTGGGTTCCATTTGGCGGTGAAGAAGAGGGTAGCAGAGGTGGTGGAAGTTGTGGATTCGACGATGGTGGTGAAGGCGATGGGCGACGATGGGTAGCTAGGGTTAGGTTTTGTGGTAGGAGTAAGGGTTTGGATGGGGATGGGGTAGTTGTGGAAGATGATAGTTTTTATTTTTTATTTAATTGTTTTAAATTTTTTTTATGGAAAGAGATAAAGTTATCATTTTACCCTTATAAAAATAATTAATAATGTGGTTAAAATCATTTTATTGGCCAACTAACGAAAAAGTGAAAATTTCCTTCCACATGGACTCCAACTGCATAATTATGAAAGGTAATGGACCTCCAGACACAAAATGAATATTAAAGTAAAGTCTACAAAAGTCGAAAAGGTTAAGGTCTGATGCTGTAATTTTCCTTTATAATAAATAGAATTGTAGAGTTTTGATTTGTAATGTTTTTAATGATTATATTTATGTGTTAACGTGAAATTTAAGACTAATATTTATGATTTAATTTATTTGATATATGTTATTTTTTTATTTGTTAAGCCGTAGTTTATTCATAACGATTAGCTTCCAAAGAGAGCAAAAAGTAGGGTTGTCCGTGGGTCGGTTCGGTTCGATTTTGAAGAGGTCCGAACCGACCCAAAACTTTCGGGTATTTAATAAATGGATCCGTCGGGTTCAAATATAATTATGGAACCGTTCGAGTTCGGTTCGGTTCGGTTCCGTACCATAATTAAATTTTTTAATATTTACAGCAACACTACATAAATACAACTAATAATATTTCTTTCGTAACTTTTACAAATTAACGTAGCCCAATTCAAAAACATATAAATAACTAGCCGTCCAATAAGATTAATTCAATGCATACAAATACCAAAAAGTAGATATTAATATTACAACAAAACTACGTAAAGTATATTC